TCCTTCACAGCACGTTTGGCAATCCCTCTCTGTGCTCATGTTACACTTTGCGGTTTTGTTCTGTGTCACGTATTAAACTGCAAACTGATTGTTTCTGTGTTGGTGTACTTCTGTTTAACTGTGAGGCTGTAGAAGTCACCAGTGTTTTGTTCATGGCCATGGGAAATGAGGCTGTGCTAGCTTATCCTTAGCTGCAAGATGGGTGAGTTGCTAGATAACAAAACTTCATCTAATCACTTCTTGGATTACTGATGTACAGGTTAAATAGTTGCTCGTGCCAAAAATCTACACATCTAAGTTGGTTCTACAGTTTGAAAGGTAATGAAAAAAGACTTCCAATAGCTAAAGTTATGAGATTTATATTTTCTTTATGAAGATAATAAAGATGAGATAGAAAACCATGGGATTAAGAGTGAATAGCTTTTTTTTTTTTTTGGTTGGGTTTGTGTGTGTTTGTGTGTGTGTGTGTGTGTGTGTGTGTGTGAGAGAGAGAGAGAGAGAGAGAGAGAGAGAGAGAGAGAGAGAGAGATCTAATGCAATGGTCCTGAGGCAGGACCATGCATGCCTATAGACCTTGAGAGATTGTTAAGTGGTTCTGTACAACTAGAGTACACAGACGGAAACACAGGAGAGTAGTATAGGTACCAGTGACGTTACTAATAGTATCTTCCAGTTTTACAATAAACCTACAAGGCAGCCATCATTAAACCCACTAATATACTGAAGGTGAGATACATTAAAAGGTGGACTAAAAACACAGCTGTAGGGTGACACATGGGAGATTTCCAAAACTGTGGTCAGTCTGGATCTAAGCAGCATATTAGCTCCTAAAATGTGAAAGATAAATGGTCAGGACTTGTGCGCACTGGCATTGTTGCAGGAAATCAGCCAGGGTGGAGATAATTACAAATACTGTATTTCCTGGATTTGGGAGAATTTGTTTGAAGAAAAATGTAGCCCCAGATAACCAAGTATCCATCTCGCCTTTATGCTACTCTGAATTTTAAAATGTTCTCATTGTATACTGATGCCTCGCCCGTCTGGTCTGAGTGACATCTGCGAAGTTGGGAGGTGCCGGTGTGTTGCCTCCGCTGACTTTGTTATCCAAGTCTTTCTGGTGTTCTTCACGTGGTCATAGAAGTTTCCAGATGAATGGCTCTTTTCTCTGAATTCAAAATTCATTGGAACTTTTACGTAACTGTGTTCAGGCAAGATGGTGATGGCCAGGGTGCTAATGAGGCTGAGTTTACAGTTTGATCTCGGTCCAGTTCCGTTTGTCTTGCACAGAGGATAGCTCCAGACAAGCCATCGCCTCTTAACAAATTAAGCAAAAGCAGCTGAGGAAATGGCACCAGTAACTTTTTTCATGCAGATGATTTGTTAGTTTGACTTTACATAAGGCTACGTCCCTCTTATGGTACTGGACCCTAGCTCTATATTTTCTCCAAAAATAACCATGAAATAACTAAAAGATTAGTCTGTATAAACCAGTAATTATAGAAATGAAAAAAAAAACATTTTGGGGGGTGCTAACTCTGTTTTGTCCACTCTCTTCTGTCTTCTGGAGAAATAGTGCAACGAGGTGTTTGTTGTGCAATAAGGAGGACCTGTTTTGGGTCCCCAGTACCTTTATGAAAGTGGGGACATGGTGTCCTACCTGCCACCCTACAAATAAAGAGACAGAGACAACAGGATTCTCAGGGTTTGCATTCAGCTACTCTAGCCAACCAGCGAACTCTAGGGCGAGTGAGAGACTTCGTCTCAAACAGTAAGGTGGCGCGCTATTGACGCAAACACTCAACATTGTCCTCTATACTTTATGTGCACGCACACTTATGCACACATATGTACCACAGACACACAGCGTCATACAGAGAACAATATACTTATTTATGTTGTGGTCATGGGTGTTACCCTACAAATATTTTCAATGTGCATTTGCCAATTGACTCAGTTAGGTTTTATATTCCTTTCTGGTATGGTTCTCTCTCCCTCTCCTTCTCCATTCTTGTGTGTGTGTGTGTGTGCATGCATGCGTGCATGTGTGTGCGTGTGCATGTGCGCGTATGTGTATGTGTGCATGTGTGTGTGGGTGTGGGTGTGTATTAGAGAGAGGGGCATCTCAATTTGTGCAGACACAGTCAATGAATGGATGCAAAGTCCTGCTGTTTTTATTTCTTGGACATCAGATGTGAAAAACCCAGGCAGGCACTCACTCCAATCTTGTTTTTCCAAATGTCTGGCAATGGGAACACTTGCTTTTTCACTCCACGCTCTCATTGTAAACCCCTCTGGCTCCTCTTCATGAACATTACAAGGCAAGCGTCTAATTTCCCTGAAGAACATATTCTACTTAGCATAATGTCTTAACATTGACCCCCAAGGTTTCCCCTCTCATGACTAGATGATCCTACCCTCCTCTGTGTTTGCTGGCTTTCCTCTCTCCATCTGCAGTTATCCACCTATGAACTCATAGCTTGATTCTGTATCCTTACTGCCACAAATAATGCTGTAAGCATCTTCTCCAGATGTCAGAGAGCATGTCAAAACAAAATAACTACAATGAAAATATCCTCGATGAGCAGCTCGATATTATACCTTGAATTCAGCTGAACTTTATCCTTGGCTGTGCCCTCTGCTTTGGTTTCCTGAAGCTGGCAATTCCCAGCCCTCTCTCCTAGTGTTCAGGGTGGACAATGCACTGTTCAGTGGCAGCCACTCTTGGCTTTGCTTTATGTAATTCAGCCACAAAGGCGTTGCCAGAGAGTACTGGGGACTTTGTCAGTTTCATTTTACTGTTTTTCAGTTTGAAAAGTTAGACAGCAAGCATTGCTTTCCGAAACGAATAATTGTACCGTGTACATTGTGCATCTCTTTCTGCATCACAGAACTTTAAATATAGTCCTTGAAATATAGAGAGATATTTACAGGAATAGGAGACAGTTGGATATTTGTATATGTGGTATGTGTGTGTGTGTATGCCTGTGTGTATGAGTGTGTGTGTGTGTGTGCATGTGAATGTGAATGTGTGTGAGCGTGTGTGTGGTGTGTATGTGTGTGTGAGTGTGTGTGTGCATGTGAATATGTGTGAGTGTGTGGGTGGTGTGTGTGTTTGTATGTGTGTGTGGTGTGTGTATGTGAGTGTGTGTAGTGTGTATGGTTGTATGTGTGTGGTGTGTGTATGTGTGTGTGTGGTCTGTGTGTATGTGTGTATGTGTGTGTGTGGTGTGTGTTTGTATGTGTGTATGTGTGTGTGTGGTGTGTGTGTGGTGTGTGTATGTGTGTGTGGTCTGTGTGTTGTGTGTATGTGTGAGAATGTGTGAGTATGTGTGTGAGTGAGTGTGTGTGTGTTCTTACTACTGTGTGACTGAGTGTGCAGAGGCCAGATGAAAGCAAGTGTCTTGTTGTCCCTCTCCATCTTATTCCTATGACACAGGATCTCTAATGGACCCTGAAGCTAAACCAATGGCCAGCAAGCCCGAGCTGTCTTCCCAGAGCAAGTGTTTAGGTTAGAGGCATTTGAGCAGTGTTTGGCTTTTATTTTTTCTTTTTCTAAAGCTTGGGTCTGGGATCTGAACTCATATCTTCATGTATGTACAGCAAATACTTTGAGAAACTAAACAATTTCTTCAGCCTTGTCTTTGAACATTTTTTTTTTTTACTTTAAGAATAACGTAAAGTTTTTTTTTCCATAAGATTAATACTGATTTTCAAAGATAGTAAGGGGGTGATAGCAAACATCAAACAGTGGTTTCCTTCAGGCACAGTAATGGTTAATACCAGATAAAGGCTGTTAAAGGCCACAGGAAAACCTTGGAGAGTATTTTTTTTTCCATTGTGTGTCTAATATAGCTCTGTTCTCCCAATCTCCATCTCTCTCTTTCTGCCTCTACACAACACATCGTCATTACCATAACTCCAAAATTACCTATTCTTAAAATTGCCAGACATTCTATTTTACCATATAATTACACAGATCTTTTGAAACTTGACAACATACTCTGAATTCACGAGAGATAACGGCTATCAAAATACTAGCTTGAAGGTTCTTCCCTTTGCAAGTTACCAAAAAAAAAAAAAAAAAAAAATCAACTAGAATTTCCTTTGTCAAAAAACAAAACAAAACAAAAAAGCAGAAAACCATTGCTTGTTCGGTGTTCAGTGTTAATAATTAATTCCCAAGGATCATCCATTCTACGTGAGATGTTTGCTTTATAATACTTCAATAGAACAAATGTCATTTCTTATCAGTTCTCTAACTCCAGTTTTACAAAACCTAAGTTAAACTCTATGCATAGAATAATACATGCTTCAAACATTACTTCCCGTTCACCAATGAATGCAGCTCTTAACTTAGAGCTACACCTCAGTGCCTGCAGCATCTCAGACCTGTGTCCTGGATGCTGACACCAACAACCCTTCAGGCCATCTGTATATGATTCTTTCCAGCAATAGTATCTGGAATTTGGCTGAAGACCACCTCTGCACAATGTCAGAGCTTAGAACTACTACATGCATTTGGACATCAAGAGTTATAATGGAGAAGCCCATGCATTCATTTATTTGGCTTTCAGGTGTTGAGATACAGATGCTCTGCTGTGCATCAGGACCAGGGGATTCATGAGGGGTGCTTGCTGCCCATGTCAGTTAGCAGGGCCGGGAACTACAGGCACAATGACTGTCCAGGCTTGGGTTTCCCAGGCTCTAACAGGCAGGTACTGTGTGTTTCCCTTATCTATCTTCCGTTCAGTTCTGTGTCCCTTAAGCCTATGGTAGCTCATTCTGTAGAGGGCTTTGCTCTTTGCGATACACAGCTATTCCATACTCATTCTTTATTATCTCAACTCTAAAGTGCCTGGGAGGCATCCCTTTCTGTAGCTACTGTTTATGTATTCTTTGCTGAGTAGTATTTGCATGGATGCCTCTAGGGCGAGAAAACTTCCTTTACTTAAAAAGGTTATACAAGTAGGCTGCTAAGTAATCTGAGGAAAATTCGTAGCATGATTGCAACGTTGCTTTTGTTTAAGCCCTACAGATTAAATGGCTCAGTCAAACGTGATGAGCGAGAGCTCTCCTTTATTAACGAGCCATGTTGTGATACCAACTTGGGTAAGTGCTTTCCACACACTCACTAATTAAGTCCTTATACTAATCCCTAGAAAAGTGTGTGTGTGTGTGTTTTTCCAATTCACCTATTTCTTCAACATATTTCTTGAAACACAAAGCCACGGCTACTACCTGACATAAAAATGTATAACGACCGCAGAGAGAAGGAGAAACAGTCTTCCCTAGGAATGAGCCCCATGACTGGTTATTCAATGCCAAACAGTCAGTCCTAAAAATATATACATATGAGCAACACTAAATGGATTCAGCGGGATGTGTGTGTATGTAACCATTACAGAAAAAGAGTCCATGAATTTGAGGCGTGGGAGTCACATGAGAGGTGTTGGAATGATAATGTATTAGACAACATATATATATATATATGAAATTTAAAAATAAAATTTTTAAAAAGCAATGACCTCTTCAAGACAGATGATATTCATCTACGAATTTCGCTGACTGTATCCTTGATGTTATTTACCATAATCCTGTTTACTTGTACTGATTCTGTTGTGACCGTTGTAAGGCACACTCTTCTAATATCATAACTTTTGTTGTCTACTGAATAGCAGTTCCTGGTTACGCTGTTGTTAATTTCTTCTAACATTCAGGATTTCAGGGCTGGCCCTTAGAGTAGCTAGTCTTTGGGGTCCTTATCTCAATGCCTAGCCTGCTCTCTGCTGCCCTGGTCTGTGAAGTACAACTGCTTTTGCTCTTAATCTACTGTGCTCAGGAACATGGCTGCTCCTCTAGTCCCTTCCATTCTGCCTGGAGCATACGTGTTGTTCTGAGAAGCAGTTCTGGGGAACCTAATTGTACTGTGTATATTCTGCTTCTCACAAAAATCATAGCCCTGCCCTCCCCATGCTCAGGTCCATCAAAATGCTTCATGCTGTTCCCAATGTTTTTAAGTTGTTCCCAACAGCAGAGCAAGCCAGGTGTGGCAGGAGACGATTGATTGCATTTTGAATTAGCATACGTAAGAGGAGCTAATGATTAGGAAAAACAACAAACAAACAAACAAACAAAAAACCCACTTTTGTTAAGCGATACATTGTTGTAAAGAAAGGACTTGATTTGAGACTAGTTAAGAAGGGGGCTCCTGTGATCCAGGGTGGCAGCAAGTGTGGCCATTTAAGCTAGCACAGAAAAACGTTATCACTCAGGTGATACAATCAAAGTGAGCAAACTGGTTTTGTTTACACATAAAATTATGTGCAGTATAAACTAAAATGCATAAAACTAGTAAGTAAGCAAGATATTAGGTGAACAATTTAAAAGTTCAAGAGTCACAGTTTTTCTCTGAACAATGCAAATGAGCTCCACTGTTGTAGTGATAACTTAGAGTGAGCCTTTCATTTTCCGTTCTCATTAAATGTACTCATTCCCCCCCCCTTCTGTTTCCAACAATATGTAGAAACAAAACCATCTTGGAAAGAGGATGATGGCAAATGGATGAAAGACTAGCTTCTTGTCACCTAGTGGTTACTATAGCAATAATCATGATGGGGGATTTCCAGCTGCAAGTGGTTTCTATAACAACATGATAGGGTGCTTTTGAAAAGGACCAGAGGCAAATGGATTCTTCTGTGAGTCTTTTTAACCCTTTTTATACCATGACTTAGCATTCTCTTGGAAGACGAGGCTTACTTGATAAGACTTGAAACTATCTCTTTAATTTTCTGAGGACGAAACGATCAATGATTCTAAATAGTTCTGGCTTGAGCTGGTGGGATTTTAGGCTCCCTCATTCTGGATATCAATAGCACCCACACTTTATTTCTACGGAAGAAACCGAAATAAAACATAGGAGCTATCTTTGAGATGCGTACACAGCTATGGATCGGGAGCTAGTCTGTGGGAGTCAGTTTTCTCCCTCTGCTTGATGGCCCTCAACATTGAACTAAGGGTCAGGATTGGATGCAAACACTTCTACCCACAGAGCCATCTCGCCAGCCCAAAAAGACAAATATTTCATAGTATTCTCTAAACACATGGAAAACTTCAAATAGCATTTTAACCCTCACGGAGATTGTCCAAAGGTTGTTCATGTAATGAAGTAGGTCGTACTTGCACAGTGGCCCATGCCGCTGTACTCTGCGATGTGTGGAGAGCCATCTCAGCCCAAGGTCTCATATCTTGTTACACCACTCAAGATGCTGTAAATCGTGGATGGGTCCCTATTTGACATATGAAGCATTATGAAAGGAGATTTAGTACCTTCACTCAATGTATTAAATTTTAGCATGGGAAAACTGGACAGAACAGAATGAAAGCACCTGTCTCATTTATAAGCACCATCCTAGAGCCTCTAAGTGAGGCTCTAGGCCTCTAAAGCACAGGCACAGGTTGGTAGTGGACGGGATACAATGTTTAAGAGAAGTAATGACATAAGGCTTGTGTGTAACAGGTGATAACCTGTTAAAGAAGGCTTCTTTCAGCTCAGTAATGATGAGTCGGTTAGCATTGGAGGTGTCGATGAATAACGCAGGGCTTCACTTAAAAAATATCACTTTAGTATTATTAAAACTTCAGTTAACATACTCAATTTAGAGGTATTGAATTAATGAATTACTTGCTTGACTTTATCCTTCTTTTCCCACTTGCTTGAAAGAACATTTTAAGTACAGAGGCACACCCTCCAACCAGAGATGGTCATGGCCATGTTTAGGATCACGCATTCTGGGGTGTGACTCCTTATGTATTTCTTCCTTTTCTTCCTTCCTTCCTTCTTTCCTTCTTTCTTTCTTTTGAGATGTTCTTTTCCAGCTCTCAGAAGGATGCTTCACCCCCCCCCAAAGTCTCATGCTAACCAATGCAGCCTCAGAATTCATTACTCATGCATCCACCTTTCCCTTCTAGGGGAGAGTTTGCCAAATGGGGTCCCTGTGAGATCAAGACCTGTTTTGCATGTGTGCTGGGAGGTTGTGCAGAAGAGCTGAGGCATATCTGTGCGCACCAGGGGCCCTGCTCAGAACTGCATGTGCCAGAACTTGCCAGGCAGGGAGCCACTCAAACGCGTCCAAATCATATCCAGACCAGAGGCACAGGGTGTCACCACAGCTGTTGTGCTCATTGCCATGGAGATTTTAACTGAATGAAGAAAACGGAATCTATTCACGGTGGCTCCCAAGTTAGCTGGTAGCCACAGTAACCTGGGTCTCCCCCAGATTCCATCCACAACAGAGAGACCTGACAGAAGCAAATCAGTCTCTTTCTGTTCAAGGGTAGTGAGCCATAGAGTGAGCAAAACCCATTTCCCCAGGGAAACCAATTAACCAGAAGAGCAAACAATGGCCATGTATTCTCTGACCTAATCAGGACTCACAGGACTATTCAAAGTGTATAATCAAAGACTGGGGGGAAAACACAGTGGCCAAAGCACTTTTGGCCCAAACAGCCAGCCAAGGACTGGAGTTCGGATCCCCAGAACCTACGTAGAAATCCGGAGGGCCACCTTAGGCCTCCGTAAATACATATACACATGTGCACACATGCTCAGATGCATGTTCACACAAATGTGAACATGTACCACTCGTGTACCACACACACACACACACACACACACACACATACACACGGGAGAGCAAAATAAAGTGTGCAACCATAACTGAATACATAGATCATATACACATAAACTCTGAAGAAACTTAGTTCTTGAGCTTAAGGGGTTCATTTTTTTTTTTAAATAGCAAAGGAATGAAGAACCATTCAGGAAATACATGGTGACTGTTACAATGTGTCTTACCAACCGTAAGTCCTGTGGTTGCTGGGGCTGGAGATCCACAGACAGCAGTGATCTGGGAGATGGGAACACAGCAGGGCCTTGCCCAGCATTTCTGCGGATTACACTATTGAAAATACCTTCCAAAGGGCACTCACGGGACACACCTTGTTTGTAGTTATGACAATAATAATATAACATATTTTAAATTACAGAGAAAATTATCTTATGCAGTCAACATCCCACATTACCCTCCTAGGGCTTGACATCCTCTAAAAACATGTGAGAAAATCAAGGGCTGCACTGTCCAGGGCACCAGCCACCAGTCACATGTAGCTTTGAAAACAAGAGAACGTGCAACGTATCCGTTGGCTTTTAAGGAGAATACAAATGGTAGCATTTTATCTCAGTAATTTTCATAGCGATTTTATATGTAAATGATCATATTTTTGGTATCCTTGGTTAAACTAAATATTTTAAAATTAATTTTCACAATTTATATTTTTATGTTTATTATTTATTTGTGTGGTGTGTGTGTGTGCACATGCCATGGCTTTTGCCATGGCTTTTGGGCTTTTGGGAGTTGGCTCTGTCATTCCACTGCGCAAGAACTCAGAACTCAGGTTGCCAGGCTTGGCAGCAAGTGCCTTCATCCACTGAGCCCTTTCCACGGCTCTGCGTTTTGCTTTTAATGGCGTTAGTAGAACACTCACTGCGCATGTGGCTCCCACTGGGCTGCTGCGAGGCTGAGCTGGTACAAACACATGCTATTTCCGTGTAATCCTGGGCCAACAGGAGCATCTGGGAGTTTCCTAGGACAGCAAATGTCAGACTTCAACCCAAACATGCGGAAGCTGCAGCCAAACGACGTTTGGAATGCCTGGGAAGAACGGGTTGAAGTAACCTTTTCACTGTTTCTTTCCCTGATTCTTGATTCTTGACTTGACTCCCCCACTCCCCGGATAAATGTCTTGAAATCCCTTGACATTCATTCTCTTCTGCTACATATGAGATGCACAAAACCAGTGAAGTTATTTGACATTCCTGAAACTTCCACACACATAAGGTGGCTATAACATTTCTATATCCCCTAATCTTTCCACAGAAAGTAAATTAAATTCTAGGGTTATGCATTAATCCCCAGGGAGCAAAAATTTAGAGACATTTTATGTCAATGACAACATTACCTTTTTTTTTTTTTTTTTTTTTTTTGTGATGGTGACTTCATTTTTCGAGATTTTTACGTATGTGTAGAGTGTGTTTTGATCGACTCCACTTTTGTTTCCTCCCCCTAATTCATATCCTCATTACTACTTTTCTCTCCTAATATCATGCTCTCTCTCTCCCTCTCTCTCTCTCTCTCTCTCTCTCTCTCTCTCTCTCTCTCTCTCTCTCTCTCTCTCTCTCTCAAGCCGGCTCTGATCACGAAGTGCTGCCTGGGTACAGAACCGTCTACTACAGCATAGGTAGCCTTTCTGCGGCCGTAAAATTTGCTCTCCCTTCCCCATATCCAACAGCTAGCAATAGCTTTTCAGCTAAACTTCTTGACGCCATGCTGGGAGTTGGGCTGGCTTGATCCCGTGCTGGTCTTGCTTACATGGTTATAGCTGCTATGACTTGGTGAGTGGGATGGTCCTGTCGTGCCCAGGAGGTAGCGTTTTGTTGTAGATGTTCACTCCTTCTTGTCTGTAAGTCTTCCCACTCCCATGATCCCCGAGCCTTGCGTGTGCATGTGTGTGTGCATGTGCGTGCTTGTATGTGTGTGTGTGTAGAGGCATGATACAGATGCTTGACTTAGAGATGAGCACTCCAGTGTCTTACTCCCTGCACAACAACCAGCCATGAGTCTCAGTATTCATCAGCGTCCACTACAAGAAGAAGCTTTACTGATGAGGGTTGAGAGATGCACTAGTCTGTGCGTATAAAGATAATACGCACAGGTGTGTTAAATACTGTAGTCATTCAACAGAAGAATAATAGTATTGGACTATCCCCTGATGTCTATTACATAGTCAGTTACAAGCTTTCCGCCCAATTATAGCACTATATTGTAGGTGTCTTTAATACAAACAAACAAAACAAAAACTTCTCTCTTCTCTATAGTATCTGTGTCAACTGCTGAAGCATACTGCAGCAGTGGGCATATCTTACCAGGTCAGTCACTATTGTAGCTCACAATGCTCACATTTTTCTTGTTAAACACTATAGGCTCCTGCAATGTAAACAGAACCCTCTGGCTTTAATGAATGCTAGCCGGCAGAGGTGAAACTTTCAGGTTGATACCAGCTTGATTTCTCCGTATTCTATGTCTTAAAAATATGCTGTCTTCAGCGACAGGGTAGGGTAACCAAGAGAACACAATAGTTTATAGTGTCAGTGTGGTCTATGGGGGCCCGTTGGGAACAAACTAAAGCAAGGTAACCTGTTCCTGGCACTGGGGTTTTGGTTTGATAGCCTATGGTATCTGGGAAAGGCACAGTTCCTACTACAGTGTCGCTGTGTCAAAACTCCTTCTATATTTGTGTATTTCTTTTTGAACTTTCTGTTGATCGTCTAAACTATTCTGGTGTTTAAAAGGATCTCTTAGACTTCGAAAGGCTGATTTCAGTGTATTATACCTAGTGTCTTCTTCAGTCTTAATTATGCACAGCTCATTTACTTAGCACATAGGTGAGACTGTAAGAGTAAATTCAGATTCAAAAACTGCGCATCTCTTTTTAGAACCAAGACAGTGTCGCTAAGCTTTTCTGAGTATTGCTTTGCAACAGAGGATGATTTGTAGCGGTGTCTGCAGACCACATCTTAAAACACAGTTTTATATGCTGAGGAAAGTGTGTTCTTTTTTATTTGTGGAATTTTTAGTTATTCGGCGAGAATCTCCATTTTGGTTTAATAGAAGCAATGGCTATAATGAAGAGCAAGTCTATTCTATCAAGTAAAATTCAATTATTATCAAAGTATACACTGGTTATAATCATTTCAGGGCTCAAGGATCACGGCAAATGGCAAAAAAACCCATGATGAATCCCCTTTAAAATGTTCAGTGACTGACATTTACTAAGAGGTGATCTTCACAATTTGCATCATTAAGTCATTCTCTGAGGCTGATAGGAGGTGTCATGTGCATGGTTACAGCCTGAGTTAAGGAGCATGTAATTGCACTGCCCAAACCATAATGGCCAAGACCCGGGCCAACCCTATTCTCAGGTGTGTAGGCTATATAGTGATGAGCTTAGATGTGTTTGTGGCATAGGGAAGCTTTGGATCTGAGGGGACTTAATTCTTCCCATCTATGGTGGTGGTAACAGTCAGAAAGTATCTCCAAATAAATCTACCAAAATGCTTGTCTTACTCAAGATATTAAAAATATATTCGTAGGAAAGTTTCTCAAAAAGCCACGGGCCCTGTAAAGAAAATAGAACTCAGCCTGGGAAGTAGCAGTGACATCAGAGCAGTGGCCACAGTCTCCTCAGCTGGGACAAGGGAGTTACAGGTCAGGGTTTGCCTGAGAGTTAACTGTAGTAAACTAGAGTATACGCCCAGAATATGCCATTTGATTTTCATGGAGTATGGATGGCAAATAAGCCTGTAATTCATAGAGCTCTAAAGACACAATGTGATCTTTTCGAGACTGTAAACTCGGTTTCCTTGAATTTATTCACTGGAGAGGGTTTTATCAAGCACCAATTATGTAAATTGAACCCCCCTAGTTGACAGAGGGCTCCTAAGGTGTTTGGGCTTGGGACCTACCGTGGAAAGCTAATGGTATTGAGTAAAAACCATTTAATACCTGACTTTTGTTTTTCAAGGAACTTTATATATGTCATTAATTATGTTCCTGATGATAAAAACAGCAAAAAATGCCAATAACTGGCACTGCTCATTTGTGCCAAGCACTGTTAGGTATTTGATAATTATTCTAATCATTACAATGATTCTACAGGAGAGTACCGTTTTTATGAAAATGAAACCCCAAGGCACATTTGTATTTTCATAGAGATAAGTAGCAGGGTCAAAATGTAAACGTAGGATCCAAAACCTGTGTGCTCACCTGCTGTTCATGTAACTACGAGTTTATCCCTACTAAAAGTAAGGAAACTGAGGCACGGTGATGATCGTTTTACTAGAGTCACAGAGATGGAAGCTAGTTGGGCCAAAATTTGAATCTATCCAGCCAGCTACGTGTTTGTACTCTTTCCATTGCATTACACTGGCCTTGATTTGGTATCTGAGACCACATGCACAGAAATAACTGCATCCATGACAGTGAATGCCTAGCTTTGGTGGTGCAGCAGAAATGCGGGAGAAGGGATTGTCTTAGTCGAACTGCTCCATGTGGATTATGTCATACTGTGGATCAAAGTGAGTGATTTAACTGATGATTTGTTCTGCTTGGCTTTACTGGGAGAGGTCAAAGTAAGAATCTCATACAAGGCTTAAAATGAGACTTCAGCTATTTTTTGCTTCCTCATTCATTATTCAACAGTTTTCTGTTCACTACCAATACCACGTGCAAGGCATTTTGACGATGTCCTGAATAAAGATATACTTCTGTCTCTACCAACCCTTACACACCCCAGGCTTAGAATAGAATTTCATGCTCTGCAGAACGCCAGGCTAAAGAGAATTCAGCAGATGCCCTCATTTTCATAAATAAAAATTCTTAGACTTGTTGATTTGGGCTTGACTCTGCCAACACACATCTCTTAGTTCGTTTTAACAGCATCTCATTAGTAAATATTTAGTCTTCTTTACGAAAACACCAGAAACCATTGATTGAGCGCTGTTGGGTTAATACTACTTTGGAACCATAAATCCTGTATTTATTTCCGCATTTGGTTTGATTAAATGTGAAATAAAATTAAAGCAGAAAGCACTCCCCTTTCATATTTTTCAAAAGTTACTCCACACCAAAGCTAACACACCCCTTAGGAGCTCTCTAAGCCCTTGGCCATGTCCCACTAGTCTGAGAAAAACAAAAATAAATAAACAAGTCTAGGAAAATCTTATGCTGCCAAGCAATGAGAACCCAAATAAGTGTGCATATACTGTTGGAAAAGTGGTGGGGACTTTAGTTAGGCTAAATATGGACACATTAAAATTGCTATTCTTTGACCCAAATACAATTCATAATCATCCCATCCTTTCCCCCTTCCCATCTTTCTGATGACAGAGATTGAATTTGATGCTTAAGTTCAGTATCAATAAAAAGTAATGGCAGCCATGATTAGGGAGTCTTAAATCCTAATGAAAGCCCAAGAAAGTGATAGCAAGAAAATACTTACATGAAAATGTTTCTTTTTCTAAAGGAGTATTAATCACTATTTCTTTACATATGGGTTGTATGTAGCGATTATAGTTGGTGTCCACATACATGTGCATGCTTGGTATAAAGACACACATCATCAAAGAACCACGGCGGGCTTAAGTCACACTCAGGAAATAACTGTAGAGTGTGCGTTGGGATAATTAGGTGCTGAGGACGACACAACCCATCCTGTTCTCTGTAGGGTTGGTTAGATCACCACCACAACCTCATATATGGTGTTTATCTGGTGCTTAGTATGTTTGCCAAGGATTAGAATCTAATGACTTAATCTCAATAAAAACCTCTAAGAGACAAATTGTCCTGCTCAGGCTTCGCAGAAGAGGAGACAGAAACTGCACAGGCAGAGACAGACTGGGTTCTGCTCCACAGTCCCTTGGCTTCACCCCATCTCTGTTGGTTAATAGAAAAGTTAATGAAGAGGTGATATTAAACAGTAACATGATGATTTTTCAGATAATTACATGTTTTTTTTAAATCATTCAATTATCTGCTTCTTTTGTAAGTAGATAGAAGGAAGACTAGGACAGAATAATGAATAAATGTCCACGGCAACCTCTGAAAATTCAAACTGCCCCCCGCACCGCCCCTGCAAAGATTCATTCCTGTTTCACCAGGTGAATAAATGTGGCCCACGTCACCATTAGCTAAATTGCCAAAGTGCCAGTTTTCTGTATAAATTTAATTACAGACTAACATACTGACACATGCATTGGGAGAAGGGTGAGCCTTTAATATCTTTAAAACTGGTAAAATTAATTCCTACTTTCCAACAAATGCAATTATTTCATTTTAAGGTGGAAATGGGAAATGCAAAAATAGGTGCTCATAAAAATTGTGAGAAATGTTTCCCCCTCGCCCTTCTGCCGTTGTTCTCAGCCCTTGGGGATCCTTAAGGGCATCTCCAAGGAAGAGGGGTAAGTCCTGTTGGACCAGTAGCAAGGGCCCCTTGGTGTCAAAATCGGACCAGGCCTACTGTTGATGTGTTCACTGGGACCACTCGGACATTTCCCTTGAAGAAATTCTGCTGCTCTTATAAGACAAAGAAGGAAGGAAGGAAGGGAGGGAGGGAGGGAGGGTAAAGTTTAAAGCTCTCTGATGAAGAATTTCTTACGAGCGCCAGTAGATGGCGAACATCATTGCAAAGACAGGATGCTATAGCCTCTGTCTCCTTCACTAACCATGCCTTGACATTTCCTACTCTCTGTTAGAAAGCTATCATGAGAGCCAAATTCCCCGCGCCCATTTTCCAGGGAACTAAATCCCAGTGATGAATTTAAATATTACTAATGAGTCTGATCCTACAGTGTAATAAATATTAACATTGTTTCATTTTCACTGATAGAATGTAGCATGCCAGGCACACATGGGTGACTTTTTTTTTTTTGACTAAGATTCCTGGAAAAGTTGGAGTGGCAACGATCCTTAGGTCATAGACACCCACTGTAAGTTTTTTTGCTTTGGTTCCGTTTCCTTAGCTGCCTATTTAACTATTTAATCAGTTTGCTCGTCCCAAGAAGGCATTAGGTTAGCCAGACAGAGTGACACAGGTCTGTTACCCCCAAGGGTTCAAGTCTGAGGGTTGCCTAGGTGAGATGGTGCCAAATAAAATGTAGCAAATTGAAGGTGTTCCCTAAATTAGAAAATAGAATTCTCTTTCTGAGGGGTAATTTTCTCCTTAGTCAGTACATGTATGTTGTACTGCCCACCTGTAAGGCCTGTTAGCATGTAAGGACACATTCACAAACCTACATGGCACCAGGAACAAGAGCAAAGCCTGAGGCTTGTAGCCTCACTAAAAGCACATCATAGTGTACCCAGAAACAGAACAATGGGGGGGGGCAGGGGGGGCTGTATTCAAATCCTCCACCTGCTTTGCAAATATTTTATCAAATGCATTTCAGTAGTCCTTCAGAATCCCCAGGGCTACGATGAAGGACGTATCTGCTTCTCAAGCCAAGTACTGGCATCCTAGCTGGGTGTGGTTGTGTACACCTTTAATCCCTGAATGTATACCAGCGGTAGAGGTGGGTGGGTCTCTGTGAGGTCATCCCGGTCTACATAATGAGTTCCTGAGAGACAGGGTCTCTCTACATAATCCTCAGAACAAAGGAAAGCAAAGCAATATAAAAAAAAAAATCATTGCATCCTTCTGTGGCAAAAATAGATTTGATTCTTCATCAGGTCTCTCTCTCTCACGCATGCGCGCGCGCACGCGCGCACACAAACACACACACACACACACCACTATACTAGAGTGCTCCCGAAATCAGTTAATTTTATATTTTTTTTTTGCAAAGTGTTATTCACATAAGTAGTCATTTTATCTTCTCCTCAGTCTGTGTATTGATTTCACTTACCGACCTACACTGATTTAATTTCCTCTGCTGTACAGCTTTTAGCATTCTTCCGAAATTAATAACAGTAAAAGTTGCTTAGGGTTTTACACTTGGTGTGTTTATTTGCATTTTCCTTCTCTGACACATCCCTCCTGAGGCTTCACTTTCCGCTCCGCTTAATGTTGATACTGATGGCACATCTGGGTTTCTTTTCTAGTGAAAATCTGCTTGTTTTTGTCCTGCTCGATTTCTGACAAGATTTCCTAGAATGAATGCCCTCTTTCTTGGTTTCATCCTCGTTTTCATTCATGGTCCCCCAGAATCTTCCTGAAAATCAAGTAGAAGAGTAAATTTTGAATCTTGATATTTTTCCCGTTTTCCTCTCTTCATATTAAATTAGTAGTATAGCTGGGCATATAATCCTGACTTATTAATGACTTCCTCTACTGTGTGTGTGTCATTTTTGCTCCCTTTTCACGTGTGCCTGCGTGTGTGCGTGTGTGTGCACATATGTGCATGTGCGAGTTTGCATCGTGTTCTTACGTGTGTGCACGCGAGCCAGTGTGGATGTGGGCACACTTGTGTAGGTCAAAGATGACATCAGGTGTTATCCCTTAAGTGTCATCCACCCTCTTTTGAGACAAGGTCTCTCATTGGCCTGCTACTTATTGATTAGGCTAGGTTGACTGTTCAGTGAGTCACAAGGATCCACCTCCCCATTGCTGGAATTATAAGTGCTTGCTATCAAATCTTGAGTTTTAAACATGGGTTCTGGGGATTAAGCTTCGTTCTTCATTCTTGCAAGGCAAGCATTTTGCTGACTGAGGCATCTCAGTTTCTTATCAACAAGTATATATATATATATATACATATATATATATATATATAAACTTCTGGATAAATGAAGAATTAAATCTCAACATTAGAACATATCCAATGATGTGCTTCATTAAGGAGTAGATTTGAAAGAGCGTCCTTTAGTTTTTCCCTCAACCATTTGTAAATTTATATTTTATATAATTTATTTTATATCTTATTTTTATACTTTATATTCCATTTTAGATTCGTTTTGCAACAAAAACTACACGAGGTGCCTCTCAAACTCTTGCCAAAACAGTTCTGCGTGCAGGGGCTTTCCACAAGACAACTGTTGTCCAGACATAGACAATAATTTGGACAAAGAGTGTGAAGATGGCAAAGACCCTTGCTTCTCCAATCCCTGCCAAAGAAACGGCACATGTGTGACTGTTCCAGGAGGAAGGAGCTTCCTGTGCCAATGTCCCCCGGGCTACAGTGGGCTGACCTGTGAAACAGCCACCAATTCCTGTGGAGGGAACTCCTGCCAAAATGGAGGCACCTGCCGTAGAGACCTGGAGCACTCCATTTGTGTCTGCCCTGCCGGATATGCTGGAAGGTTCTGCGAGGTAGATCACAACGAGTGTGCCTCCAGCCCTTGCCACAATGGGGCTGTGTGCCAGGATGGAGTCAATGGCTACTCCTGCTTCTGTGTGCCTGGATACCAAGGCAGGCATTGCGACGTGGAAGTGGATGAATGTGTCTCTGACCCCTGCCTGAATGAGGCTCTGTGCCTCAATGAGATAGGGAGATACACTTGTGTCTGCCCTCGAGGGTATTCTGGTGAGTGCAAGCAATTTCATCCACACCCTGAGTGCATGATTGGCTTACTCTTCCTAACATATATTAGCAGACAGATGGCAGCAGCCATTTCTTACTCCATCTTACTCTCAGAAACACAGAATGATGGAAAACCACGTTGACTGCTTATAAACTCTCAATGACTCCTTTCTGCATCTCAAAAAAAAAAAAATGAACACAATTTTTAACCATTTCATACATGTCTGTAATTACCCTCTCCCACCACCCTATCTCTCATCCATCCTTATCATTTCTCCCTTCCCCATCCCAGGTCCCTGCCTGGATACATGACTTTCTGTTTTGTTTGGGTTTGTGACTGATTGCAGATAAACTGGACCATCTCTGGGCACATTGGAATGCAATTATCCATTGGCACCTGGTGGGGTCGCTAGTGGGTGCACAAATGAAAACAATGCCTGTTGCAAGTATTTTCCCTCCAGCCTGGTCCCACAACAGCCCCAAATAACAGAGCTAGCCAACAAGAAGCCCTAGCCATTGGCCATTTTGGGGCTGATGCAGCTATGGGACCAGGCTGGTGGAAAACTGCTCCTAACATAATCCTCTCTGCAATTAATTCATTTACACTGTTTGTTACCTGATGTCTGTTCTGAGCTCAAAGCAACCAATGTTCTTTGCCTGGTAAAACAGTGGAATATAGTAAGTCCACTGATAAAATGATGTTATTCCCACAAGGCTATATTTTTCTCTTGTTTTCTAAGCAAGCAGGCAATTTTTTTTATAACTTTTATGAACCACATTTAAAACGTAATTATAAAGTAGAATTTATATGAAATACACATAAGGCCACAAGAATCAAGACTGTGCATAGTCAGCTAGGTTTGCTCAGCTCCAAGGATACATCTAAGGCTCCATGGTTCATCAATCACCTACAGAAGTAGTGTAGGCTGTGATCCCGTAGCCTATCTTGGCTCTCATCCCTGAATACTAATTACCCAGAGGTGTGGAACCGAAATGTTCAGACCCTACCATCAGAGGGTCAAATGTAATTGATACTTCTAAGAATATCTAGGGATGGGAGCCAGAAATTAAGTTCGTTCATATGCACTTAGTTTAGAGACTTGTTGTTGGGTTACTTCATAGCCATCTCATCGATACTAGTGTTTGCAGCGGTCTAGAAATTCCAGAGAAGACAGGTAAAATAAATAAATAAATAAATAAATAAATAAATAAATAAATAAATAAATCACAGGGATACCCAAAGTTGATAAGGGAAAAAACAAGAGTGTGACCGATCGGCACGGATGCTCTTCAAGTCCCCCGACTCTACCTCGATCTGCTAATGAATCTTGGGACCCGCTCCAGCGACCCAGCTGCTGTGTGCCACATGTGAACTGGGTTTACAGAGCAGGGGAGAAAAAGCCTGTGTCCTTGTGAGCAGCAAAGCAAGAAAAGGAAATGAATTTTAAAAGACAGAGAGGTAGGGCGGGGGTGGGTGGTTGGTGGTGGGTGGGTGGTACAGCATGTGCAGAGGGCTCGAACCGCGTGAATCCTCGATGCCCTCTACTGCACTCCATGAGCTGTGATTCATTGGCTGCGAAAATGAGCAGAGCCAGGGCCAAACTGCAGCTTTAGGTGAGAGTCTGTTTGCATAAGCAGCATCTACAGTTGATGCTCAAAGTAAGTCCAAAGTTTTCCTTTGCAAAAGGGACTTTGGCTTGGAGAATCTGGTTTTAGTTGGAGTTTAGGTAACTTATGTATCCTTATGTAATTGAGGTCCTCCTTAAAATGGGCCAGATAAATTAATGGTGTATACTTTTCCCGCTAAGATGCTCACAATATTAGAAAACTGAATGGTATCAGGGCAGGGAAAGGCCAGTTAGATAGTAAAACATTTGAGTAATAAAAATCGAGTAAAAAAATGCATTGAAATTTCCAGCGAAAGAAGTCTATAGGAAAATATTCCATCCCTTCATTACAAAATAAAACATTTGAAGGGCTGAGGCTCAGCAGGCAAAGCATGCCAGAAAAAGCATGAAGACCTGAGTTTGGATTCAGGACACGCAGGTAAAGCCTGTGCAGTTCATAGTTCTTATTTGTAATCCCAACCTCCCTATAACTCATCGGCTAGCCAATTGGTGAGTTTCAGGTTCACTGAGAGACCCTTTCTCAAAACAACAAAACAAAACAAACAAAAACATGCAGAGAGGCATCAAGGAAGAAACTGTGTTGACTTCTGGTCTCTGTACAACTATACATATGTGTCCATACATACAAAACCCACCTACATATGCACAAAATAAATAATGAAAGGATGGATGAATGAATAAATTAAAAGTAGATCTTTAGTATGTGAATTATTTTAAAATAAGACTCACATAATTTTAGTATTCACATATAAGGTACGCATTAAACCTACTTTTAAGCATAGGATATATTTTTTATTTCATAAGCAAAAGTATATAAAAGTATTATATTTTCGAAACTACTCAGTTCATAGTTTAGAAGGCACAAAAATCCAAGTGTAAAATTTTGGGCGCTGGCCTGGGCATAAAAGGAAAAAGCCGCCATGACAGTGACTAGGAACAAGGAAGACTCACTCACCATTTTTCAAAGAAAGAATATTTCCCACCTGTTTTACGTAGGGAACCTTTGATGCCGCTAATAAAAACACGTGCTGAAATTTTCAGTGACACTTCCAACTTAATGAACTTACAGTGTGTACCAGTGGCTCTCAAACTGTAGCATGCAGCTAACCAACCTGAAGAACTTGTCATGGAAATACAATATTTGATTACATAGATCCAAGATGAGGCTAGAGAATACATACTTGTCACAAGTTCCCACACGATGCTAATGTTGTTTGGCACAGTGTCAACATGACAGGATCCGAGGTCACCCAGGAGACAAGCTTCCGGGTGTGCCAGTCATGGTGTATTTTGGTTAGGTTATCCTCTGATCATGCTTGTGGGAGAATATATTGGTTAAGGGAATTGAGGTGGGAAGATTCTCTACGAAAGTAGGTGACACCGTTTTTTTGTTTTGTTTTGTTTTGGATTGGGTCCTGAATGCCATGAAAAGCAACAAGGCTAGCTGAACTCAATATGTTATTGCTCTTTGCTTCTGGAATTCACATATAATATGCCAACCACCTCAAGCTTCTGCAGCAATGATGGGCTGCTCCCTTGAACTGCAAGCAACACAAGTTGCTTTTGTCAGGGTCATTTGTCACAGAGACAAGAAAAGTAGCTAAGACGATCACACGAAAGCAACTGGTTACTCCCATGACATCCACACCACTGCTGTAACTGCGGATACATCTTACCAGGCCACTCATTATTGTAGCCCGTAGAGTATTGCTGTTGCTGGGTTTTCTCCCCATAACACATTCAAACGCTATGAAAGCTGTGTATTAGACATGAAGCCTTCAGGTCAGTTCCAGCTTGACTTCTCCATAGTCTATGACTCGAGTAGAGTATGCGGTGTCTTCAGCAATAGGGCCTTACCATCACTACTGCTTACGGGTTTCCAGACCTCCACGAACAGATTAGATATGCTAATCTGAGTACCCAAATGTGATATCAGTAAATGAAAGGAAACAGGCAATGTTTATTGTTCTGGGTCTCCGTTACCTAACTCAGAATGATTATTTCCAGTTCTACCCATTTACTTGTGAATTTCATGATTGCATTTTTTTTCTTAATAGCTGGATGATATCCTACTATGTAAATATGCTATATTCTTCGCTATCCATTCATCAGTTTGGTGGGAATCTAGGCTGTTTTCTTTTCTTGGCTGTTATGAGAATAATAGCAATGAACATGGATGAGAGAGTATTTCTATACCAGAATGGGGAGTTCATTGGGTATATGCTCAAGAGGGGTATAGCTGGATCATAAAGTACATCTACCTCTTTCTTTTTGTAGAATCCACACACTGATTTCCAAGGAGGCTGTACTGTTTGCACACTCACCCACCATTAGTGAATAAGTACTCCCTTTGCTGATACTGTAGCATTTGTTCCCATTTTGTAATCAGCCATCCTGACTGTATTTTGGAGAAATCTCAAGTTATAGTTTTAACTTGAATTTTCTCTGATGTCTAGAGGTGTTAAATATCTTTTTTTTTAGCCATTTGTGTTTCATCTTTTGAGGACTGTCTGATGTCCACTTCTTGTTCAAAATAGTCGCGGTTGCATGTGTGTGAAAGAGAGGGTGGACCAAACTGGTTTATAGCAGGAACAGAACTGAGAGCTGCCTGTGCTCTGTGCAGACTTTCATAATAACTGGACAGTGGGTCTACACAAGGAGCCCATAACCAGCAAGCGTGATTCGTATTCCAAAGAAACATAGAATGCAATTTGGCTGGCATCACACACATTATGTGGAGTCTGAAATCTAGCATGATAAACTACGGAGCACAATGATTTCCAAAGCATGGGCTGTGCCGATAACGGGCAAGGCGTTCAAAATGTTTTTCTCGTGGCCACGCTTCATGTGCCACGTGCTCTCTGGCTGCTACAGTGAGTGATGAGGACAGCATCGTGTATGAGACCTGCTCCAACCTGATAGCACATGGTGGGTACTATCTAGTGGCACAGAATGTTAACACAGACCTCCAACTGTCAAAGCATACGTGATAAGGGACAGATACCTCCAACTGTGCATCAGAAGTTTAGGGTGTTCCTTGAGAAAATGTGATTTGTTTTAAACGTTTGTCAAAGCCATAAATCGACTGTTCCTGTGGGGACAACAGACCCAGCTTCACCGAGGCATCTGGAAACGCTGCCCTGGTTCACGGGGAAAGAAATGGATTACCACACAGGGGCAACCAATAGCCATCAGAAATTAATTGATTATATCCTTTGTTCGAGGAGATATGCCACATGCCAGAGAGAATAACAAATGCTGGCATCGGAGAGGATGAGGGGTAGGGGATGAGGAGTAAAGAATATGATAAATGCTTTGTTATCACAGGGCATTTTGAGGAGGTGGGTGAGGCAGCGCCAGAGGCTGACGTAACAAGTTAAGTGTGATTTCCAGGATCATGTTCCACTCAGCCCAACTCTCTGAAGGTAGGGGTTGATGAAGAAGGCATTGCAAGCAAGGGGCACGTACATGTGGGAAGAGATCATATCATTGCAAGCCCACAGCAGCAGGAAGTGGAGTTTCCATCTGTTAGAAGGTGCAGCTGGATTCTAAAGAAACTCTGCTTTACTCTGGAGGTGTTGGGAGAACCCGTTTAAAAACTTTCTGCAAATATTGACATAACAAGATTTACTTTTTTTGGGGGGGGATCACATAAGAATTGATGGAGAGAAAGGATGGTTAGGGGCACCAGATGGCGAATGCTGAGGGTCACAAAGGGAGGAGGGTGGGCCTAAGGCTATTGGACAACTTTCCATTTTCACTGATAGAATGCTTCCCTTCTAAAAAATAAATAAATAAAAGTAAAACAAACAAAAAAAATTAAGCCAAATTTTATATACTGGTAACTTCTTAATTTGGGCATTTATACAACCCAGTGACAGTCATAAATTGAAACATTACTACTCTAAGATCAAGAAAAGAAAATAAAGTCAAGCCGAACACTGCCTCCAAGAGTCTCTCAATGTTGTAATACGCACGATTTGTTATCCTGGATTAGCGCCACACTCATCAAGGATGGGCAAGCGCAAGCTGTCCTTTTCTGTGCACTCTAATTCTCCATACAAATTGACCAGAACACAAAGCCCAGCCAGTGACTGTCTCTGCTAAGGCACCAGCCCAGCCCGCCTGAGCCTTCACAGCCCGACCAAACTCAGTGTTTCAAAACAGCGAAATAATAAATAAAACTAGCAGCACATTTTAGTATTCCAACAAAAGTAGAGTTAACGGTGATTTTTTTTTCCTAAAAATAACCTATTTGTTTCCACAGACAAAAAATAAAAGCCACAAGCTGTTGTAGGCACCAGTTCTCAAAGGCGACAGCTGCTCTGCTCTCTACAACTCCTCACAAGAACACAGAGTTAATAGCAATTAGAGGAGAGCAGGGAAATTATTTTGGGCGACATAGCATTTGACGAGTGCGGTTTAGTAAATAAAGTATTGCCAAGCTGCTAAAATATTTTCACTTTGCTAAAACTTTTCTGGCTTCCTGCACTGGCTTTTCTCAAAGGTGTGAACTGTGGGATGGAAACTGACGAATGTGGATCCCAGCCTTGCCTCCATGGTGCTACGTGTCAGGATGCTCTTGGGGCTTACTTCTGTGACTGTGCACCTGGATTCCTTGGAGATCGCTGTGAATTCAACTTTGATGAATGTGCCAGTCAGCCATGTCTCCATGGAGGTCTGTGTGTGGATGGAGGAAACAGGCAAGTGTTTTATAGGTGAGCGATGGGCTTACAGAGAGAGAGCAAACACTAGTACCACTGCGGTGATTTTTCAAGTTCTCATAGCCTCCATTTGAGTTGCAAATTGCATCGGGTAATGAAAAGTTGCAACATTCAATTTAAATAGAAAGAAGGAAGGAAGGAAGGAAGGAAGGAAGGAAGGAAGGAAGGAAGGAAAGGAGGGAGGGAAAAGAAAAAATTTGGGGGACATCTGTCCTGAGTGAAGATTTTCCAAGGCACTCTTGAAATGATCGAGAACTACATGTATCATAGAAAACTACCACCATCTAAACACCATGTAATGAACCTGTTATAGATAAGGAAGATGCAAAAGCAATGCTATCAGTTGTTAAAATTGCGAACGTAAGGTTTATATTTGTGAAAATAAGCAAATAAATCAAAAAATGAAAAAAAAAACCAATCCTCCAGAATGTATCTGCAAATGCAGCTGCCAGAACTATGATATTAAACTGGTATATCTTGGCTTCCCAGGTGTTTTGGAAATTGGGTGAATTTATTTGAGGAAGTAAATCATTAGAAAGTAAAAATCAATGCTCCTCCAAATATGAGTATCTCATTGGTTTTGGAGGAAAAGGGTAACTACATTATACCTTTGTGTGATAAATATAATTAATTTGTATAGTGATAGCTGAGTTCACATCAGATAATATATCCCTATAAGAAACAGTCTCATACTTGCTTAAACTATGACTACTGAACTGTCATGTGGAGGACAGTGTTTAATAGCACTGAACTTGGAATTCCCTTATTTGATATCAGCCCTGTGGGAAGCGTGGTGAGCATTACTGTTCCCAAATTGTAATATATACGGCTCCTTAATTGCAGTAAGGAATCTGAGGTACAGAGATGTCAGATGCTCCCATGAGTTTACATCATTAACTTCTTGTAAAACTAGGAATAAAATCACTTCCCTCCTTTTAATAAATCAGACATGGGGCTGAGGGTTTAACTCAGTGGTGGAGTTACATGGCTAGTGTGTGCAAGGCCATGGGTTCAAGTCCCAATAGCACACACACACACACACACACACACACAGAGTCATAAGTTACTTCAAATCTAATTTCAAAATGACTAAAAAAACTCAAAACGCATGTAATGAAAGGCATGTGTGCTGCAAATATATCCATAATTTATTTAATAAGATGATAAGATTTTTAGATGGAGCAGGGAGATTGAACCTTTCTTTTTAGAAATATGGAACACAACTTTAAATCATACCCTGTGTCTTGATGTGGCTTTTTTCTTGAAACCAAATAATGAAGCTTTGGCGGGAGTCTATACTCCAGGCAACCGCTAACCGTACACTACGGAAATTCGGGGAGGTTAGGATGACTGAAACTTCCAAGGGAAGGGAAACTCTCTGGAAAGCATCAAGGCGGACACTGCAAGGATTTGGGTTCCAACTGGAAGGCTCACAGGATGGAGCCTTCTATTCTCTACTCTTAAAGGTGTCATGACTCATTCCTTCATTTAGTGTTCTGTCTCCTAATAGCTAGTTTTTTTTTTTTTTTGTTTTGTTTTAATCAACCAATGTGGCTTTGGTTTATTTTTACACAATAAAAAAAACATGAGCATCTTTCCCATCATTCATGCGGGAAAATTGATGATTTTGTACCAAATGGGATCTCTATTTCTGTGAACTTAGACGTGCTTCTTGAATACAGGACATGAGCCTACTGTCTCACACAGAGCAAATTACTATTTTTTTAACGGCTTAGTGACGGTTAGCCTTTAGGTGGCATACTTTTTTTCCCTCCGAGTATTTATTTACTAACATTTTAATTAAGTGTATGTGTAACTGTGTTGGGAGCATGTGCTGCACGTGGGTGCTGGTGTTTAAGGAGGGCAGAGGCATCACATTCCCTGGACATTGGTGCTGAGACTCTAACTCAGGTCCTTTGGAAGACCAATAACATGCTCTAAGCCACTGAACCATCTCTCCAGCCTTATTATTATTGTTGTTATTATCATCGTCATTATTATTGTGTATGTTAGGGTAGTTGCCCGTGTAGCTGGACACATGTGGAGATCTAAGGATGACAACTCCATGAAGTTGAACCTCTCCCTCCACATAATGTGGGTTTGGAAATTGAACTCAGGTTCCCCAGGCTTACATAGCTAGAGCCTTCATGTATCGGGCCATGTTTCTGACCCTGATTTTTAGTGTTTTTAATTAAACAAAACCATGAATAGATTATTTTTTTCCTTAACTATTTGAGACATAAAATGTATGTTCCTTGCAATCTGCCATTTCTGGATCCTTAAATAGTTCGATATCTACGTTGGTGGTAAACATTCACAGTCTTGGGAACGGTTTATAAGTGTTCTATGGCTGGAGCATCCCCTATAAACACCCTATTTCACCCGAGTGTGCAGACCCGTTTTTAATTTTCATAACACTAAGTCCTTGTGGATACATCACCTAAATAAAAAGCTTCCTTAAGTGAAAATTCAGCAGCTCACCCCATCAGACTGAATTTTGTCACTGTGACATAGTTTTTAGTCAATGAATGCTTAGAAACAGAAAAACTAAAGTAAATATTCACGTGATCAAAAAGCAACAAACACTACAATTGTGGTATGCTTAAGAGTGCTTCTGATGAGTGAAAAAGTTTGGTTTTTATAATGAACCTCATTTGGTGCTAACTTCAAAAATACTAGTAATTTTATTTACTATACCATTTAATCGTAAACTAGTACCCTGATTGAGATGATGCTTCTGTCTTTTTATACACACACACACACACACACACACACACACACACATGTATACTTAATAATCATTATGATCTTATGACCTAAGTCTTCAATTTATGCATGAAGAAACTGCCTTCCAAATAATGTTGCATGAAGCTTTACTGTCACTTTTTAAGTCGATAAGGATAAGCTATTGTTGTGGAAACACATAACCGTCCAGGTCCACAGAGATAACTCTACGGTGCTTTTGAGGTAAGTATGAAGGCTATGTATGCCACTCGAGTCAGGGTGATGGACAAAGAGAGACAGCATAAGGAGGGTTGATTTCAAGACGGCGAAGGGTTGACCTGAAATTTTCATTTACTGTTTAGCTACCACTGTGACTGCATGGGCAGTGGTTTCACGGGGACACATTGTGAGAATTTGATGCCTGTTTGTTGGTCAAAGCCTTGTCACAATAATGCTACCTGTGAAGACGCCGGTAACGGCTACATTTGTCACTGCTGGCCTGGTAAGTGACAAGTACTTTGTCATTATTTTTTTTTCTTTTTACTTAGACTAGAAACAAGCTGCTTATAAAAATTAAACTAAAACGTCTTGCTGTCGAAGGCGCTAAGTCAGCACTTTACTTGGTTTACTTATTGAGTTGGAGTCTTCATTGCCTACACAGCATTACAGTATACTATACACTGTAAGACAAGGGACCACAGCACAAATGACGAGAAGTCTCCAGTTCAGAAACACAACTGTAGAAGGTTGAATTCCACGTAGCTTTCATGATCAAATGTTCACTGGGATGGCATCTATCTATCTATCTATCTATCTATCTATCTATCTATCTATCTATCTATGTATCTATCTATCTATCTATCTATCTATCTATGTATCTATCTATCTATCTATCTATCTATGTATCTATCTATCTATCTATCTATCTATCTATGTATCTATCTATCTATCTATGTATCTATCTATCTATCTATCTATCTATCTATGTATCTATCTATGTATCTATCTATCTATCTATGTATCTATCTATCTATCTATCTATGTATCTATCTATCTATCTATCTATGTATCTATGTATCTATCTATCTATCTATGTATCTATCTATCTATCTATGTATCTATCTATCTATCTATGTATCTATCTATCTATCTATCTATCTATCTATGTATCTATCTATGTATCTATCTATCTATCTATCTATCTATCTATGTATCTATGTATGTATGTATCTATCTATCTATCTATCTATGTATCTATCTATCTATGTATCTATCTATCTATCTATCTATCTATCTATCTATCTATGTATCTATGTACCTCTGCTCACTGTTATATATACTGAGAATTAATGCCACAAGCTACTTTATAAGCAAGAAAGGACTGTAAAACCAGGGCTAACGAACACGTTGCCAATCATCACTGCTACATTTGTCTAAAGACCTTATTTCAGAAGTAAATAATTTCAAGAAGTATCCTATCCTTCAACTGAAATGTTTATCACAGAAGTTTTCCCGAAACTCAGATGTGATTGGATATGAGTAAAACAAAACAAAACAAAACAAAAAAAAATCACAACTTCAGAGGATCTGATTTGGTATCATGTTGTTTCTTTGTGAAGAGATTTATAGAGAAACTTGTTTAAAATATTGACTGTTGTCTTGACTTAAGGGATGTATATCTGGTTAAAGAGAACAGCAACTAAAATTCCCCACCCCCAGCCTTGGTGGACTGGACAGGACTGGTAAACACATAAATTGGGCCTTCCCCCACGCTCCTGATTGAATGAGATAATACATGAGCCGGAAAAGCAGGGAAGGATTTATTAGACTTCTAAATCTCTTCTAACCTGGCTGACATGTGAGTCTTGAGTCTTAGGGCATGAAGAATATTACAAACAAAACAGCCCATGCTTTTTTTTTTCAAACTAACCCTGATACATGGCAACTGTGAAAACTATTATTTAGTAACAATTTATAAGTCTGTAAGCATGAAGGGGAAGTATTTTAAAAGTAGGCATTCTCGGTGAAGAGATTCCGAGGGTTCCAGGGGGTAGGGGGGAGCTCTCCACTGAGAATTGTGAGGTCTCTATTTGAGATGATTTCTAGTTCCTTTATCCATTGCTTGAGTTCCTTCTTCAGATTGTTGAGAAAGGCCCCAAGGGTTACACGGAATAAATATATTAGGCTATGGTGCAAGAGGATTTATATCGTGGCTTTTATTTGAAATAGGATCCACTCAGGGTTTTTATTGGAGTTACAAAATGAGCAATAATATTTGTATTCAAATTCATGGCTCATCAACAGTTAATTCTCTAGTTACGCACCGAGTGGGTTATAATTTAAACTTGTTGTCATTTTAACCATTAATTAGTACTATTTATTCTCACTCAGTCATTGATTGGAGGTCAACTGATTAAGAATTGCTGGGTAGTGGAGTGCTGAATAAAACACACACAGTCCTGTTTATGAGGAGCCGACAATCTGTTGAGGCAGTCGACTACACAGGCAAACAAGCATGCTGTTAAACGTTGTCAAAAGAGCAAGGGAAGAAAAAGGCTGAGGGATGTGACAGTGAACCAAGGCGTCTTTATTGTCCCATGTTCTGAACGAGAGAGGAAAATAAACCAAGGTGGAGTCTGGAAGTGGAGGAAGAGTTGGCCAAGCAAAGGCTTGGAAGAGGATTTCCCAGAAGGGAAGGGGGCACTGTTGAGGCTGTGGGTAGGAAGCATCCTCAGGGAGGAAGCAGGAGAGGTGGATGAGGAGGGTGCACTGGAGTGGTCATATTAAGGACCTTGACTTTTATACTGTATGAAAACAGGAAGCCACTGTTGTCATTTTAAAGTGGAAAAGCATTATGGCTTGATTTTTTTTTTTTTAATTTTGGATTTAGGATTAAAGACAAGTTTCTGGGTGAGCCTAAGGTGACATGACGGATGTCACCTGTGTGGTAGGCTTGTGTCCCTTAAAGGACTCCATACATTTGGCTCACTGGCTCACGACGTTGCTGATGCTTTTTCTTGTCAGTGTTCCACTAAATTTACATGTTAGGATTAGCACTCCGAACAGCACAAGCAAATAAAAAGGTCCACCTAATGGATAAAGCACGAAAATGATATAAAACAATTTTGGGGATCAAAGATACTAAACTAAGCTGCAACTCGGGAGAGTGTAACTAAGTCAACCAATTTTGAAAAGCTTACCCTTGGTGAGACAAAATACACAAATAGGCATTCAGACCCATTTGTTGGTGACATGCCAAATCCACGGAAACCTTTGTGGCATCTGTCAATTTTGGCTATAGTGGTAAAAGTGCATACACAATCTATAACGTAGAAGTTCTGTTTTCAGGTACCTCATTTTAAGATGTGTTAAAAGCTGTAAACGAAGACTTAGACTGAGGCGCATTTTTCTGTCCACATTTCAGAATACATAATGGTGTCCACAAAGAGTTGGATGTGTCTTAGGGACTTAAACAGGGAGTAAACAATGCGGTCTTTGAAAGGGCCACATGTGATATGAGTCCCTCATGTTAAAGCCCTGTCCACACACAATAAAGCTATATTTTTAAAGGTACACACGTGTGTAAAGACACAGAAGTAAGTTGCTTAAGGAGATTTCTTCTGTGTCTGATGTTTTAGTTTCTAACAAAGTGGCAAGCCATTTATCTATCATTAAATCCTTGGCCAAAACCAAAACGACCTACCTGGAGCCAGGAAGGTATAAGATAACCCACTTCTGTGTTCTGGGTGGTAACTCTGACCTTTAAGTGGTATGTTAGGGTTTCTATTGCTGTGATGAAACTCGATGCCCAAACAGCTTGGAGTGGAAAGGGTTTATATGGTTTATAGTTCTAGTGCATCACTGAAGGAAGTCAGGGCAGGTACCAGGAGGCAGGAGCTGATGCAGAGACCATGGTAGAATGCTGCTTACCAGCTTACTCTCCTCTCTGATGACTTCAGCTTGTGTCAAGTTGACATAAAACCAGCCAGCACAAGCTCACCCCTTGTGGACTTGACATACAAGCATATCACTGTTAAGCCACTTTCCTTCCTTGCTCATCCCCAAGATCACAAAATGACCACAGTCTTACGCATTCAAATACTTCAAATGTTCATTCTCTCTCTCTCTTTTTTAATAACCAAAACTTCTTTTGAAAAGTGGTATAGTTTTTAAAACTCTGACACCACCAACTTTAACCACCTTGGGCATCAAGTATAATGCCGGCCACCTGCAGAGCACAGCTCGAATGCGTTGACTCTAAGCGAACACTTCTCAGATGACGTCACCTCCGTGACGCTGTTCCCTTGTTAGTCTCTGCCAATTCCTCAGCTCCACCTGACCAGCGTTGTCCCAGTAAAGCAAACGTTTGACATCAGCTATTCCGGTATCTTGTTAACCTTCAGGCCCAGCTAACTAACCACAGCCACAGATTCTTAACGCAAAATAGCAAACGGCCCTGGTAGAGTCGTTAAGAGTTTTGCAAACTTCCCCCTGAAACTTCACAAGTCAGGCATTTCTCTCAACACACTTATCTTCCAAGTGGGCACAGAATAGCCCCCCCCCCCGCAGGCTTTGAACACTAAATAGAGTCCCACAGTTCTTCCAAAACCCTCCCCAAAACAATGTGGTCGGTCAGGTCTGTCTCAGAGATTACCCCACTATACTGGCACAGACTACTATCTTAGTTACTCTGAGCTTTAAGGGGCACCTTAGGGTTTCTAACACCGCGACCAGAGCAAGTTGGAGAGGAAAGGGCTTGTTTGACTTACATTTCCACATCAACTCCATCAATGATGGAGGACAGGGCAGGAACCAGGGAGCAGGCGCGGATGCAGAGGCCATGGTGGAGGGCTGCTGCATAGTGGCTTTGTCTCCTTCCTCTCTGATGACTCTAACTTGTGTCCGGTTGACATAAACCCGGCCAGCACAAGGGACTCCATGTCGTCTGTGCGGACGCTGCTGACTTTTCAGACATTGTCCTTAAAAAAAAAAAAAAAAGCTTCATTTTTAAAACAGCCGTTTGCTGAATTGGTGTAAATGGTTTTTCCATTTCACGCAGGGTTCGGTTTAAATCACAGTGATCTTGAGATTCCATTTTACTTCAGGCCTAGCTAATGACACCGTTCTGGAACTATTGGCCAGAGTCATACATCTTCTAGGATTTATCACGTATCCCTTTCCATTGCTACTAGAATCTATTTCCACATAGCATGCTTTTATCTGCTCCCCCTGCCAGCTTTTTGAGGGTGGGCGTCTTGCTAATTGGCTCCAGCGCAGTGGTCAGCCTCCTCTCAGACGAATGCCCGGCGTTTCCCAAGCTTTGGCTCAGCAGTATCTCTGACCTTTCACCCTGCAGGATACACAGGTACCCTGTGTGAGACGGACATAAATGAATGCAGTAGCAACCCCTGCCAATTTGAGGGGGAATGTGCCGAACTGTCCTCAGAGGATCTGTACGGACACGTTGCTGGCCTGCCTCCCTCCTTCAGCTACCTTGGAGCGGCGGGTTACATTTGTATCTGTCAGCCTGGATTCACAGGTGAGAATGAAATGGGAAATGGCTAATTAGAAGACCTGTGCTGTGTAAACTCTAGTGCCATGGCACAAAGGGTCCCCCTTGTGGGCATGGAAAATATCTTGGATCGCACGTAACTCCTGAACTCACTGGGCAAATGCAGACTACTGCGGATGGGCATGAACAAAATGGGAAGCATAATGAAAATGCAGACTTCCGCCCCATCTTTTCCTCCATAGATTAAATGTGTGTTTCAGGAAATACGTTAGCTACTGTTGAGGGTGTCTGGGAAAAGCTAATGATGAATATATAAACCAATGAGGTCCTCTTATGCCTAGGATTCCCTTCATTTTACTATTTCACATTAGAAGATGATGGACTTTGGTTTGTGATAACGCTTTTGTGTGGTTGCTGTAGAGGTTTTATCTGGTATCAGCATCAGGATATATTCTCCAATCATTTTTTAACGCGCATGTTTTTACATTAATTTTCAAAGGGTATGAAGTTAAATCTTGTGATATATATATATATGTATATATATGTATATATATATATTTCATATGTGAATTCCAAAATTGTGTCCCCATCATCCATCTTCTCCCCAAAGTGATTCAGTAATAAAACTATCATGCTTTTGCATGTCAAGCCAGTGAAGAAGGGAAGTGGAGTGTGGAGTCTTGGTGGCTCTTTGGGCCAAGTAGTGAACAACCCTTCTTCTACACCTACAGATCAAAGTTTATTCCACACATACTTCGTCCCACAAACAATGAGAACCATTCCCTGCTGTGTGTGTAAAACATAGAGAAAGCAATTTCCATGGACAAGTGTTCTCTGTGAAATGATAGCCAGAGTCATTGGGGTGAAGGACCAGCTGGCACTCCACATCTGCCATACCAAGTCCACTTTCAGTGATAATTTACAACCCCTCTGATTAGTAATAGTGGTTGCACACACTGTTTTAAGAGACAACCTGGAGAGACCCATGTTCAATTTCCCAAGTTCCCCTGAGGAACCTTTGCATTTCCATCAGCGGTATGCGAGTGATTAATTTCCTTAAATTGCGTTAGTCTTTGGTTCTTGAGTATTGTTAAAATATTCTCTGTTCTGATGGATGTCTCGTGACAATCTCGTTATGGTTTGAATTTCCGTTTGCTTCACGACTAGTGGTGTCGAATAGTCTCTCTGTGCCTATTGACACAAGTTTAAGCAAAATGGCTCCACGACTTCACGTATTTTCTTCTTAAATCACCCGTCTCTTGATTAATTTATATGTACAGGCTCTAGGCAATTGCGTCTTAAGTTATACCTTGAGAAGCTGTACTTAGCATTTCACTTTCCCTACAATGATTGTTAATATAATATTATGTTTTTAAGTTCCATTTCTACACATTCATCGCCAGGGTGCCCTGAATCTGTACTCTGCCATTGTTGAATGGTGGTGTATCTATGTGTCAATAATCACATTAGGTGATTGTATGTATCCATGCAAGTTATTGCTAATTTTTTTTGTCAAGTTTAAGCTCATGTTGCTAATAGCATCCTTGCCTTTTTTTTTTTTTTTTTTTTAAAAATGACTTTAGAATTTGTAGTGATTTCCAGTTTAGTCCTGGTTTCAATATTTTGCGTCTTCTGGTGTGTGTGTTCATCTCCTTCTATATTAATCAGTTTTGTTCATTTCTGTTTTTAAAGAATTTTTTGCTTAGTTCATTTTCTATTTTCAATCTTATTTTTTTTTTGCCCTTTATTTGGCCCCCTTTTCTGCTTCCTTTGAGTCATTTGCTTTTTTGTCTTCTACACAAGCATTTAACAATATAAATTAGAAATTAGCAGCATCCCACATAGGCGTGTATGTGTAGTTTTTCTTTTTAATTCGCCTTTTCTGTATGTTTCTAAAATTTCATCCTGTCATTCTGCTATTGATTTGTAGTTTTATTCATCAGAATTATAAAACACCTTCTGTAGTTTCAAGTGTTTCAGATTTGTTCAGGTTTGCTTTACCGCACATGGCGTGCTGTGTCTTCGTACCAGTCCTTAGATGCTGGAAGACAAAGGCTGCTAGGTAGGAATTTCTGTGTATACCTACCTGGTCCCGTTGATTGTATTGCCCACATACTCTGTACCTTCACCAGTTTCCTGTCTGGACAGCTTACTACTCACTTAGAAAATAGACTTGAAATCCCTGATTACAATGGTAGATTTGTGTTTCTCCTTTCTGCTTATCTTGTTTCCTGTATTTTTGAGGCTCTGTTGTTTGGTGCACATTTTAAAGTCGTTGCCTCTCCAGGGGAGTTGATCCTTCTGCCATTTTGCAAAGCCCCTTGACTGCTGTTACGGATTTACCTTCATGTACTTTATGTACTATTACTGTAACAACTCCTGGGATTTTAAAACTTTTCCCTACTCTTCTATTCTTGACTTAACCCATGCCATTGAATTCGTGGTTCCTCCTAAACAGCACATTAAACAATGTATTGTTGAGCTGATTTTAAATTTTTATCTCTGTCTTGTGGCTAGTACATTTGTTCATTTTACATTTTAGTGTATTATAGATAATCTATTCTTTGCTTTCTGTTTTTCTTCATGACCTCCTGTGAGTTACTTGACAAACTTTTAAGATATTCATCTTATCAATCTCCCATTGCTCTGAGGTGAATTATAGAATCTATATATTAACTCAGGTCCTTTTACTCTTCTCTCCTTAGGGTATCATTGCTTTGGGGATCAGATGATCTCACAATTTTTATTTTAATCACCAATGTGATTTACAATAATGATACTACCTATATTTTGATCTTTATGTATTTCTTTTTCTTCCTCCTAGGACCTCAAAATTCTTCTTTGTTCATTTTTTTTCCCCTGTTCATTAAAGAGTTTCAGATTTTATGAGTGACTCACTATTAGTGACAACTTCTTTTATCCTTGCCTGAGAAAGAACTGATTGTCCCTACATCCTAGAAGGAGAATTTTGTTACATATGGAATTTGTTTTTTTTAACAGTTAATTTTATTTAGAATTTGAAAAGTGTACACCACCTCCTTCTGCACTCTATAGTTTCTTTTTAATGTAATACTTTTCACTTGACTCTTTGAGAATTTCACTCAGAAATACATTGCATTCCTAACATGTTAATCCTCCCACTCCAACTCTTCCTTGGGACCTTCCCCGTGACCTAGCTAATTTCATGCCTTGTCCCAACCACCTTAAATCATGGAGGAAAGCCATGCTACCCATGTGCATATTGGACTGGAGCATGGTCTATCTACCAGAGGCCATACTCCTAAAATGAGAGCTGACTCTCTTTAATAGACTGTCTCTAGCTGTTTAGTAAGGGATTGGGACTTGTGTACTGCTTTTGCTGAAATATTAAATGGCTTGATCTCGTGCAAGTCTTACTCAGGTAACCACAACTCTTCTGTACTCAGGAGGGAAACAGTCCTGTCTTGTCCAGGAAATAGTGTGCCACCCCAACCCACCCTGACCTCTGACTCATAATCTTTTTTGTTTGCTCATCTGTGATGTTCCCTGAGTGTCGGGTTGTGAGAGTGAGTGGAATTTATGTCTATGGTACTTCATAGATCTTTATAGTTTATACTTTGTGAGTCTCTGTATTAACTATCATTCACTACATAGAGATTATCACACGAAGACTGAAAGCCATGCTAAGCTAAGGGTAGAGGGAAATCTATCTTCAAGACCCTTCACTGCTGAGTGTATTTAGTGAATTGTTGCAGGCTCATCCAAGAGCCTGGAAGTTTCCAAGATAAGAATTATTGCCAGCTTTATTGCACCGGCATGATTCTTCTTCTGTGAACATGTCTCAAATCCAATCAGAACTTTTATAACAGTTATACCGCTATTGTACTCATTGCTGTGTCTGTTCAGTGTAGCTTGTAGAGTTTGCAACAGGGTAAGATTGCTAAGGACTACTCTCCCCCACCAACCCGCATAGTACCTTCCTGAACTGTGAAAGCTATCCAAAGGTAGAAGCTTCCAGATCAGTACTTGCTTTAATCTGTATGTCTTACGACCAAAGAGTGTGGTATCTTCCAACATTAAGGGTGTTTGAAAATATATGTAGAGACCCACAACTTTATAAGTTTCCTGGAAAAGAAATATACACATATAAAATTTGAAATGGAACTACTATATATACGGGATCAATGCTCCTCCCAGAAGCCAAATTAAAAGCCCAGGGCCAAATATGGGATACTTACCATTTTGATGGTGAATGTTGTCTCAGAAACCCTCCCCCAAATTTAGGCTATTGTCGAGGCTCTTGGTTGCCCTCTATAGTTTCTAATGAGACATGCTCTGGCATCGAAAGTGGTGTTTTCCCTAAGTAATACATCATTTCTTGCTGGTTCCTTTCTTTGTCTTTAGTTTTAGTACTGCTTTATCTTTCCTCCTCCCCCCCTTTGGTTTTCAGGAGCTAATTTATGGTATACTTTCGTGTTTCTGCATTTGAGTGTATCCTACCTTTGATATACTCGGGATGCCACCCAGCTTTTTGCTGAGGTGACAAACAGCACTGGTTAGTCAATTCCATAAGTTTACTTTGGTCCACGGTTTCAGTGTATGGTGACTTGATGCCATTGTCTTTGGTACTGTAGTGAGGTGGGTCATGTGTAACAGAAGAGGCTGTCTCACTTCATGGCAGCAAAGAGTTAAAAGGAAAGGGGATAGGAAGAGGTAGAATCCTAGTATTCTGTACAAGGCAGTGCCCCCCCCCCATGACAAAACTTAAGCTTCACTAGGCCATGCTCGCTCTCTCAGATTTCCCCAGAACATCCCAGTGGTCCATTGTTCAGACAGGGCAAAACCGGTTGCTTTTGTTAGGCAACCAAGTAATTCGCCTTTTCATCTCTTGTTTATTAATCTATCCAAAGAATTGATTTCTTCCATTGTAGGTATTCAATTTCAACTTGTGAGTGCCGTGTTTCTAATAGTCAGTGATGTTCTTGTTTATCTTATACTATTGAGCTCCCATTGGGCAATTCTGGTGTTCCTTGAATGGCTAGTTGTTT